TTATTAAACTGGAGCTGATAGTTTTCTTGCACCGTTCAGTTACACTACTATACATGATTACTGGAATTAGGAGTCATTTGGTGTTTTTGTGACAATAGTTTGCTTTGAGAGCAGAAAAATTGGCTTTCAGCGCAACGTTTTTGGCAGCAGATAGAGGCCCTCTGAGCACTGTAACTTCCTAATTTTATACAGACGGTCTCCTCACTCACAAAATGAGATGAATGGGACGACATCATCCAGAGACTGTTATTGCTCTGGTCTCATTTTTAATACAGCTGCACTGTGGCAATCAGCAGAGACACCCGATAACAAATTACACTGATGCTCTTGCTTCAGATTCCATAAGACTCGCAGTGTGATTAATGAATGAGTCTATATTACCAATAAACAGAGCTCCAAACTCTGTGGACTGGAAAAACATATTGTAATATTCGGCAATAAAGCACGTTCATCCCGAAGTTTAACTTTTGGGATTATGAAAACTACTTATGGGTTTTTTTCATATAGCAAAATGTTCAAGCACACTTGTTAATCATTTCTGATCTTCTCAAGGCCCAGTCATTCCAAGTGAAATTGTCCCTTAAAATTCTATGAGCAGTATTGGTGCTGTGAGCCTCATAAAAAAACAGTGTTAACCTAAATGACTCTTTTTTTTTTCTTTTTCTTTTTTTTTGGAAAGGATTGAACAGAGAGTAAATGATGAGTAATCAGCACCTCACAGAATGACTGAAAACTGTGATGACTGCAGGCAGTCAGACTGACTTTTTTGTGTCTCCTCGCAAGCTGTCTTGGCTCTCATCCTTGAGCTGTTATAAATAGAGGCCGCAGAGCTGTTGTGGAATTTTCAATTTCCGGTACGGTCGCTGTGCATGTTTTCTTATCCTTCACCTTGCATTCAAAATGCCTCTGTTATACATCAAGATAGTTTCCACCTGTGGACCAAACAGTGTGCAATGATGTATTTTAGAAGGTCAGTGTACACTGAGGGCTAGTGAATGATGTGTTTAATTTATATACATCTGAAAAAATGATTACATTAGCTTATGCCTCCACTATAGCCTACAAAACTCACATTGACGTGACTCATGGATACCCTAAAAAAATTATAAATATATACATTTTATATTTTATTTAATTATATATATATATATATATATTATATATATATACATACAGTATATACATAGAATCATACACTAGTGGCTGTATTTATTTGATCAAAATACAGTAATATTTTGAAAAAATTTAAATCAGTGTATTTATTTTTATTATATTAATTAATTACATTTATTAGATTTTAAATTAAATGTTTTATATTAAAAATATTCTAAAATGTAATTTATTCCTATGATGGCAAAGCTGAATTTTCAGCATCATTACTCTAGTCTGCTTAAACTTTTTGTGGAAAACATAATAATTTTGTTTTAAGATTCTTCAATAAATAGAAAGTTCAAATGAACAGCATTTAATTGAAATAAACCTTTTGTAACTTAATACGTCTTTACTGTCACTTTTAATCAATTCAATGTGTCCTTGCTGAATAAAAGTACTAATTTCTTTTAAAAAATATCTTACTGACTCGACACAATTTAGTCTTAAAGTAACTAAGTGACAGTAATGTTACACCTTATTTTAAAACTACTATTGTAAAACCAAATAGAAATTTAAATCACCAAAAAATGTGCCTTCCAGGTTGGCAATATGATGTAATGTCATGATTGAGCAGCTGTTCTACAGTTAAACATTACATTTTTTTTTTAATAAATCTAATTTGAAATTACCCTGTCTAAGAAGCATATACCATAGTTTACAATGCTTGGTGCTCATAGGTCTTTCATGAAATGTTTTTTACTTATTGCTAAAAATCAATTTCTCTATGGATCTCTATTTTGAATAGCAGGTTTACCTCCATAACCTCCATAACCATGCTCTGTTTACATTTAAAGAGGGGGAGATCGTGTTGAAATGTGTCTTTTGATAAACTGAAGGTCGTTCCTGTTTATCTGTCCAAATCACTCTCTGTGACTTGAAGAAACTCAAGCAATGTGTGCTAGTCAACAAGTGAGGAGTCTTCTGAATGACTTCCTGAAAAATCCTTATTGAATGCTGCATCCACAAGCTTCCACTCGGAAGAGACTCTAGGGTCAGCGATGGGTGAGAGAAGACAAGTGATTATTTCTGTGATGCAAAGCTGAATTTTCAGCATCATTACTCCAGTCTTCAGTGTCACATGATCCTTCATTCTCATATGCTGATTTACTTCTCAAGAAACATTTATTATTATTATTATCAATGTTGAAAAGAGTTGTGCTGCCTAATATTTTTGTGAAAACCATGATTTTTTTCCTAATTAAAGTGAATGAAAGACTCCACCATATTATCAGACACACACACTTGCACTACATATCATCCGTGTGATCTTGCATCAGGCTGTCAACAATGCTTCTGCCTGTCAAACAGGCACATGTCTGCTTGCATGCCACACATGTAATTCAGACATGCACACATTCACACTCGTTTTCTCTATGAAGAAGGGATTCATGAAGATAAGATACAGTAGGGGTCCTAATCCCCGCACATTAGGCTCACAATCACTATAATTTTCCTAGCCTTCCTCACATGTGCCCCATTGCCAGTGTGGGAGGTTAATTATCCCATTGAGTTCCTTTTCTTCTGAGAGAGAGATAATGTTGCTAGGGTAGCGTTTGCAGACTCCTTCTGGTTTTCGGGTGCCACTGTCATTTTTTATTTTTTTGGTCAGTTTTAAACGTCTCTGCTATGTAAGCACTTTTGGTATAAATAGTCATGGTGTCCTTTGGTTTAGCTACAAGAAATAAAAAAATACATTTTAAACTATAATCAAATTGAAAACTTGATTTTTTGTTGTAATATACAATATTACTGTTTTATAAAATAGATGAATGTAAATAGATGAATGACAATGTTGGTGCATATCTCCTCCTTGAAAGAGAGATTGTTATTTTCCATTTCCTAAATTCATTCTTTTGTTTCTTTTGTGTCTGTTGTAAGCTATCTGCTTTATGGGACAGTAAACGTATTGTTTGTATAGTGTGTGTGTGTGTGTGTGTGTGTGTGTGTGTGTGTGTGTGTGTGTGTGTGTGTGTGTGTGTGTGTGTGTGTGTGTGTGTGTGTGTGTGTGTGTGTGTGTGTGTGTGTGTGTGTGTGTGTGTGTGTGTGTGTGTGTGTGTGTGTGTGTGTGTGCAACTGCCGTGGGAATAAGAACATTGTGAACGTTTTTTTTTTCATCCTCAACTTGGAAAGCCCCTTCCAAAAGATAAACTTAAGAGGTTCTGTCCCAGTTCCTCTCTATAAAACCAAACATTTCATAGCGCCAGACCATACTGTTGACCAAAAGACAGGCTGTAACCGGAGTGAATAGAGTACATTTCTCACAATCAGGAGACTCATCAGTTTATGAGCTATGCCAATGTTCAGCCACTGTCCTCCCCATTAGAATCTATAATTGTGATAATACTAATGAGATGCTGAACTGCGCATGGCAGCACAGTGCAGCCTTCTCACTCAATCTCTATCTGTGGAAATTATGCTTATCGGCCTTACAAATATGGAAAGCTCCTAATAACCTAATTGCCCTGGATTGAAGAAATCTATATGACAAGAGATGTCTTGGTGAGTTACCATGCTGGTTAAAGGTGCTGTATGTAAAAGCGTAAAAATACCATATATTTGCAGATATTTAGGAAACATGCTACATTTACATACTTGTTTCTCCAAAAAACAATCCTACAGCCAGTTATTCTTGAAATGTATGTTCCGTGTCGGAATGTCTACTTTTGGTCTGTGTGATCCCGCCCACTGCCAATTTACCCAATAGCAGTATTTGGACACCCCGGGTAGCCAGTTGGCGGAAAACATAGCGCATTGCAGCCATGGAAACCAGCAAACAAACTGGGTCAGAGATCACAGATTCTACACGAAAAAAGCCTCGACGTCTATATAAAAAGCTCTATGTCCAGAGCGGCATGTTAAAACACAGGCTCGTTGCCTTCCATTGTCAATTGCGCTTGTGCCAGTTGCGTGTCCTCAATCTGGAAAGTTGTGGCAACCCACATGAGCGTCGAGTCCGAGTCTGAGGAGGAGGGGAGGGGGGAAACAACTCTCTCGAATATTTTGAATTTGAACTGCAGTACCAATTTCAACCGCCAGCTGTAATGCACCTTTAATGCAAATTTCCGAAAGTTCCCAAGGGAGACTGCTCTTAAGACTGGTCTTGCAGATCAGTGGACAAAAACCCTATACCAGAAGAGTAACATTTGAAGATTTACAATCCATTTCAAATAGGAATTTATAGCATGAAAAATGGACTTGTTATACAGTTTATTACCTATTACATGGAGTTATAATGAATGTTTCATTGTTATTGTCTGGCTCCATCCGGCTATGTGAAGCCAAATTTTAACCATTCAATCAATTCAATCTTAAATACTTCAGATTATGGAAGTAACTAAGGTTGTGAATGCCAATTATGTTAAAAATGAAAATTTCATGTTGTTCCAGGATTTTTAAAGATTCTTGACAAAGATCTTTTTTTCATATAACAACAGTTAAAACATAAAAAAGAACCAGAAAGAATCATATTAGTAGTCCATATGATTTGTGTGCTATATTGTGTGAATAATAATACAGACCAAAATGTAAGTTGTTATTCAACGATAAACTTGTAAGCATATAGAGCAGACATTAATTTCAACCCAGACCACCAATGTATGAAACCTACAGGCATGTCTGACACTGACTGCTCTTAAAATCACCATGTTAATTTATCTTCAATCTCTGTTGTTAATATTTTATGCCATAATTATGCCTATAATTCACAACCTGATGAATGATATCATTACAGTGTGCGGTTTTAGGCTGAGATTAAGACTGAGGTCATACTGCTTGTGTTAACCATTTTAACCACAGAAGAGGGTCATGTCGTCTCATGTTGACAGCATCTCACTGTGTTTTTGTGACAGGTACATTCATCTCAGCCTTCACAGTTCTGTGCGGAGCGAGGACAGACCTTCCCGACAGGCACATGTGCTGTGTGTTCTGGCTGAACATCGCAGCTGCCTTCATTCAGATCGTCACTGCCATTGTCATGGTGGGCTGGATCATGAGCATATTTTGGGGAATGGACATGGTCATTCTCGCAAGTGAGTATGCTTCAGTAATACCAAAGCAGGTTTATTTTATTCTTCATTTTTTTAAAGGGATAGTTCACCCAAAAATGCTGTCATTAATATTAATTACACGCCTTCGTGTCATTCCAAACCTGTAAGACTTTTGTTCATCTTCGGAACACAAATGAAGATCTTTTTGATGAAATCTGAGAGCTGTCTGTCCCTCCATTGGCAGCTACGCAACTGAAACTTTGGTAGTTGCGTTGACTGTCAATGGAGGGACAGAAATCTCAGATTTCATCAAAATGATCTTCATTTGTGTTCCGAAGATGAACGAAAGTCTTACGGGTTTAAAACGACATGGTGAGTAATTAATGACAGAATTTTCACTTTTGAGTGAACTAACCGTTGTTTTTAAAAGAATAGATCGTCCCAAAATTAAAATTTTGATATTATTTATTCACTTTACTTTTGTGCCAAAAATGATTTTTCCTGTGGAACACAAGAGTATTGACCACTTTAATACTTTTATGGTGGTTATTTGGTTGATTTATTTTTGGTCTTTGCTGGATTTTGATTGCAAATGTCTCACTGTTGTTGTTAAAATAGAAACTAATAAATAAGTAAATAAATCCCAAAAAATGGATCCTTAAAATAATTCTACTTTTGTGTTCCATTAAATAGTGAATAAATAAAGTTTAAAAATATACTTTATTATATAAAATTATATATTAATTTAAATCACACTATTCACTTTAAGAGGTTGATGGTCATGATCTCACAGATCTTTTTTTAATGATTTCCAGCTAAACTAGAACATACACTTAAAGTGTCTGTCATCAAGATTCTGTCATCATTTACTCACCCTCATATCGTGCCAAAACCCGTATGACTTTATTTCTTCTGTCGAACACAAAAGATGATATTTTAAAAAGATATTTTGTCTTTTTTGTCCATACAATTAAAGTGTTGTTTTGGACTTTGATTAAATGGACAAAACAGTTAAAACATCCTTCGAAATATATTCTTTTCTGTTCTGCAGAAGAAAGAAAGTAATACAGGTTTTTCATTTTTGGGTGAACTATCCCTTTATCATGTGTAGTAAGTGTTAGAAAAGATGACAGGATTTCAGCAGTCACCCTGCATTGGGCCATAGTCAACTCCGTTCATGTTCAAGTTCAACCTCACGTTTCTCGCTCCTTATACTGTAATACCATCTCCGCCTTCCAGGGCAGTAGAAGGTGCCAGAATTCTTTGAACAATGACTATTAGAGCGGTCTGTTGGTAGGAGTGGATTGAAAGCGCTGCAGTAATTGTTCTGTGTAGGCGGACGATGCAACTCGCAGAACTTTAATATCTCACGTCACATGTTTTTCCTGTGGAACAATTTTACTCTTATTGAATATTTAATTCGATTTTATTGTGCAGTTGTTGAATGTGATTCAGGGTTCCCTTTTGACTTGCTTTTGTTCTGCATGTATCTTTTTATGGATTTATTTCAAATATCTAATCTATTATTTATTTATTTAACTACTTCACGACCTTTTGGATTGAAAGTCTCTGAAGGTAGGTGGACCTAATACTTGACTTTTGTCCTGTCACAACTCATACTCAGACCTGTCTCAGATATAACACCTTGAATATTATAAAACATAACCTGCTCGCATTGGCCACATACATACTGCACCTACACTGCAAAAATTAAGTGTTTTGTTGTAAAGGCAATGTTTCTTTGTTGCTTCCTTTGTAACCTTAAGATAACCTTATTTGTCATTGAATAATTCACTCAAGATATTCGTTCAAAAACGCTGATTCATCTAGTAATGAAACAAGTTAAGTCTTTAGGTGTGTTCGACTTTATGCGGCGCTGCGCATACCGATCGGCGTCTGACTTGAAATTTTGTCCGCCTTGAGACAGCGCCGAAGCCACATCACTGTGACCTATGCCATCAAAGTATACGAGAGCGATTCGTGAACAGATGGCTGACTCGGCCAGTGCAGCTTTTCCAGAGCGACTGCACAAGTTCTGATGACGACACAGCTTGTCCACGATTGGTCGGATTCACAGATGACACCAATGACGTGTGTTTCGTGTTTATTCTGACACCTTCAGTTCCGTTAATGCTCACAAGTTCATGTTTTTATAACAGAAAAAACTCTTTTCATGTAATCATAATGTTATATTGTGTCATGTCTATCAAAATAACACTGATTCAAATATAGACCCACTTTATTGGTTTTAAATATAGGCTTATGAAATTTATTCTGATACAGATGGTGCTGTATTAAGCAGTACATAAAAAGTGTTTCTGTTGCCTCATGAAAACATCTGAAATGTCTATGTATTTGACAAATATTCCATCTAATCCACTTCATCTGTGATAAAGTACGTAAACACCATGCGAGCATCGCTACGGGAAGCAGAAAGTGTCTGACTTGACGGCCCTGTTTTCAATTCCGCCCCTGACTGCGAGCAGCAAATCTCGTTGACCGGTCTGCGCAACGCCACATAAAGTCCCTTTTATGAGTAAGCCATTGAATCATTCAAGAGATTCAATAAAAAAAAAAAAAAAAAAAATGATTCATCCTGAAACAAGAGAAGTTTTTATGAGTCATTGAATCATTCATTCAAAACAATTTTAAAAATTCATTCTAATGAATTAGATATTTTTTAAATAGATTGAAGCAAATCAAATTGTATGCGAACCTCATTTAAAGTACATGTTATTTTGTATATTGTATATTCAGAGACATATACAATGTTATCACTGTCAACTATTGCAATTTTTTTAACAGAATGGTGATTTAGAGGATTCACTTTTGCATTTACATGCGAATGTCAAAACTTTGCAGTGTGTATGTGAGCATTATGAAATAGTACACTAATGTAACCATTATAAATGTGGCAATATCCTAAACAGCATAACATAATAATATATTTGATACAGGTCTGCTGTCCTCAGTTTGGTCACTAATTTCAGCCCATTATCACTACACATGCTGCAAGCTCGGCTTCTCCCATTCTGTTTATTCTGATCCATCTTGGATAATGTGCCTCCCACTACCTGCCATCTGCCAGTCTCCTCTCAGTCTGTTTGATCCACTTTTTGTCCATTAAATGCCAGTAGAACCATAGCGCTCATTAGAAAAGAAGCTTTGCAGACGTGAGACTTCATACAGAGACTGCTACAACGATGCAGCACTATAACTCCATCAGTCGCACGCTGAGCCCTTTGACAAGATCTTTAAGCAGCCTTGAAAGACAGTTTAAAGTAATAGTTCACCTCAAGAATCAAAGCTGCATGATTTTCTTTTTCATGAAACACATTTTTGAACAATATTGTGTTGAAAGGATATAATGAGAAATGAGGCTAATATAATAAAATTGAATGAGAAATAGTGCTGTCAAGCTTTAAAAAGGATGCAAAAGCACCATAACAATAAAATAAAATATTTAATGAAAGTAGTCCATATGACTAGTATACCATATTTCCATACACTAGCTTTGTGGGCTGTTAACCTCCTGAATCATTTTAGTCAGTGAGAATCGGATCAGTCTGTTTTGTGAACGAATCATTCAGACTAGTTTTGTGGAATGGATCGACTGAATAATTGAAGAGCTCTGAAGGAAAAAAGGACCAAATTCATGATACTTTTATGGTGCTTTTTGGTCATTTGTCAGCTTGACAGCCCCAATCCTCATTTATTTTCATTACAATAAAAAAGCAGCCAGGATATTCTTTAAGAAAGAAAGGCATACAGGTTAAGAATGCCATGAAAATTAACAAATAATTACAGTTGTTCATTTGTGTGTCTACTATCCCTTCGACTAATACATTTGCAGCACAGATTACTAAATGGCTTGCATGCAAAAAAAAATGGACTTGTTATTTGAAGCTTGGATCTTGAAAGCTTTAATGCATTGCGTCATCTGCGTTTAAACCTGTTATAATGCAATGCTTTAAGAAGGCCATGAGTCATTAGTCTATCCCCATTCTAAATCTCACTATAAACGCTTAAAGATAAAGCCAAAAACCTGTGATATGTAAATGCAGATATAAGACTGCTGCTCGAGCTGAACCAGTGAAGCACTTTAGAGGAGATGTGTAAGTAAACTGAACTGAGTCACCCCTCCAGACGCCTCCAATGGATGTGTCAAGTGCCACTCGCATCAGGTGGTAGCATTGAGCATTGTTGGCGAGGAGCTATTTTTAGGTATGCTGAAGATGGTTTCAAACTTTCTGTAGGCTTTCTGTAAGAAATTAAACAGTTTTTAAATATCTACCTCATTTGACATCACAAAAAGGATTCAATATAATAAAAGAATTGTTGATAACAGGCTTATTTTAGTATTATTTATATACTAAAAAAATTCTTCAGTTTTAATTCGAATAATTTTAGCACCAAGGCATTTACAATTTTGCCGCCTTTGTTTTTATCTTCAAGTTTTCATTGAATATTATTATTTTTTACTTTATTTCAGCTTTATTTCAATAAACACATTTGAACTAGTAGTTAACAATACGAACACTGGTAAATTATTATGCTAACATAATAGCACACACTAAAACAAAATGAGGAACAAACCAAAATTTCAGTTATTATTAGTCATTGAAAATTAGTCAAAATAACTTGTTTTGTGGCCTACAAAAATAATGTTTGTTGTGACACGAGGCTGAGTAAAAATAAATGGCTTTATGGATATACTGTATTTGACTTTATATGGATCAGGCTTTGAAAAAATTAGAACCTACAACCTTTTAGTTACAAGACCAGATATTTTAATAAGACATGTTTCTTGAGCACCAAATCAGCATATTAGAATGATTTCTGAAGGATCATGTGACACTGAAGACATCTAAAAATTCAGCTTTTTCATAATCAATTACATTTTAAAATATATTAAAATAGGCTTAGCTGTTCAGCTTAGCGAACGAGTCAGTGCATGAGAATAAAAGCAAAAGTGATGAGACAGACCGAGCACTCCAATGCACAAATATTTTCATACAACATAGTCAGCTTTTGTCGTCGCTAGTTCTTTTACGCCGGCTTGGTGTGTCACGGCCATAAGAAGACATTTTAAAAACATTATAAAATTCTTATACCGACCCCAAACCTTTGAATTGTAGTGTATAGGTACAGTAACAGCAGTCTTGTGATCTCTGATGTTATTGTACTTACAGGCTACAGGGAGCAGGCCACCCCTCAGCAGCTCTGATTGTTGTCGTCCAAGCCCTAATCTTGAATGTGCACCTTTCTCCTGCGCTGTCCGGCCAACATGCATGGGAGCTTTGAGGCGGACCCCACGTGGCCTGGGAGATCCAGCGGTTGATCACATGCAGATTTTCAGCCCAACTCCTGCTACTTCCTGTCCTGTCAGGTACTGCATCAAGGGGACCTGACTGTTGAGGGACAGCAGAAAAGAATGAACATTCTGTGAATATCTAAAAAAAATTGTGCAAACGTACAAAACGTCCATGTGCCGAACACATTATATTCCTGTCAGGGAAAACCGATCTTAATCGTACTTAACTCTGTAGTCTTAATGTATGTATTAAATTGACCAATATTCATTATGAACATTTTCAGTTTGTAGAAAAAAAAATTGTTAAAGAGCTTTGAGGTGTCTAATAAAGTAGCTGAAAGAATCTTAAAGGAACAGTACACACAAAATTACTGAACCTCATGTTTGTTCATATGAAATCAAAATAAAATACATTTTTGGGTGAACTATCCTTTTAAAATGTTGCTTCTCACAGAGCACTGTGATTACATATTACACTAAATATTTGTGCATTACAGTGTCTACAGTATTTCTTTATAGTGTGCTGTGTTTTATTACTTAAATTAAGCATTATAAAACAGAAAGTGTGTATTTGTTTTATAAAACATAACTTGTATTCTGCACAAATTCATCACCTGTTATTGTTAATCTCTATTAGTCCTCATACCCAGAGACTACCAGCCAGAAACATAACCTTTTTCTCCAGTAATAATCTGTTGTTAAGTAAAACAGCCAAGTATTGGTGAATCATTGTATGCCAGTTTCCATAGTGACTGGCCACTTTAATCAACCCATGCGTAGGGTATGAAATAACGCAATTAAGTGCGAGTTATTTTTATGTGACCGACATAGGAGAAAGGCATGGCGCAAATTGAAATAGGCAAAACATTATGATTTAAGACTGACATTGAAAAATGAACCACTAATTTCCAATGGCAGCACTGGGTCTCTTTTTTGGATGTTATAAATATATATACAGTAAGCTGGTCTCTGGTGTGAATGTGTGCTGTAAATGTATTTGAGGATTTGTTGTAAATATGGACAGAAAGTGAATTAGTTCTGTAATGTCGTGTGCTGTTGTGTTTAATGCTGCCTTTTTAAATACAAACATTATATGCAGTGTTAAGTCCAAAGGCCTACATATATTACGGCCAAACATATGTTACTCAGCTGACTTACACAATGACATTGTCACATCTCTAGAAATGTCAGAGGTACCATATCTAATAAATTCTGCTTTTAAAAAGTGACATTTTGGTGTCTTGTTTCGTTTTCTAATTACAAACTAAGAAATACATCCAGAAGTAACTAATCTGGTGGCATGATTAAAGCTTGAAGCAAATTTTATTTTTCTGCAATGGTGCTACTCAAAATCTTGCTCATTTGAGGTGTGTGGAAATTTAATTTGTTTATTTGTAAGGAATTTTATATCATCACCATGGCGTTTTGAACTATACTGGCCTGCCAGCATGAGGAACAGAATGCCCATAAAAGAAATATTAATAAAATTAACCACGGGCTTTCATCTAATGATAACAGTTCCTTGGTCACAACGGCTCACAAATGAGTAGAGAGACATGACTTAAAGGCATTTACCCAACTTACTGAAATTAACACCATTAAAAGGAGATGAAAGGCTTCCTCTCTTGAGGAAAGATGATGTTTCGCAAAAACAAATACGGATGTACTTTGGTACCAAATCGAAATTATACGTAATTATAGAAAGAAGGAAAAGCGTAATTATATCAGTCTTTCTACTGTAGTAATGACTTAAACTGACAGACGGCTTTGTATTTCTCTGCTTGGTTTATTCACACTTGGTGAAAATGCTCATCTTGGCAAGGTAATGCAAACAGATGTTGGTTATGTCTAACACGAATGTAAACTGGTGGGACTTGAATTTAATTATGCATAATGTTTTTGCTACTGAATAGCATGAAGCATGATAAACATCAAAACAGATTGCACTCGTTTTCCCCAATATTTGTTAGCCTGCTTTAATTCCTGTTTGCACTTGAAGTGGATATGACCGAGTGCACAATTACTTCCTAGCTTAAGGGTTGGTTTTAATGAAAGCTGTGAAAGAAGTAAATGTAGTACTTCTGTCAGAAATAATCAGGTGAGCTGCCATTTTAGCTTTCTACAAGCTGCCCAATCCACAAACCTCACCATTTTTTTATAGAGGAAGGGAAAAAGAATCCTGTCCGACTTTCCCAAATGACAAATGGTCTTACCTTAAAAGTTGCTCTTTTATAAATAGAATTGTAAGTCCGTCTAATTCGATCCAATGGCGGTATCGATTAGAGGTGAAGGTCACATGCGCGTTCCGTCTCTTCCAATGGCAAAGGGATTTTTAATTAAATGCAATACATTCTATCTTATGTATTAACTCGTTTCATCTGACTCCATAAAATGAAAGTGTTTTTCAATGATATCTGTGCATCATTAAATATACGTTAATGTTTGACTATTCCTTTTAACTCCAATGGAAATGAAGTCAAAGTCTGTTAGAATAATCAAATATAACAATTTATTATGTCAGGTAAAAGTATTATGCCAATTTCATAATCAGTTCAAAGATCATCAATACAAAACATCAAATACTCTGGAATACAGAGAATAGATGCAAACCCAACATATTAAGAAATACATGAGCTGAAAGTCTATCCGACCAACAACCTCATGGGCTCTCTGAAATACAGAAAGAGCCACGATTCCTTGCTGCATCCCATTAAATAGCCAGAACTTCTTTTCAATGGTAATTTGCATTCAGGTTACACCTTATTTTGGGGGTAGGGGAGAAAGGCCATTTGTCCACCTTTCTTTGTGTGCCAGTTTCTCTAAACTTCTAAAAAACCTTATTACCTTTTGTTTTACTTATTTGGAATGAGACATCTGAACCAGCCACCCTGAGACCTTTAAAATGATACTAAACACAATAATCATTCACATTAAACCATGTATATACTTGTGTGCGTTTTTTAGTGTTACTGACTGAGAGAGAGAGGAAATGTAAATCAGGTGAGACTGCGTGAGGGGGAGGTCGAATGTTAATTTTCAGCAAGTTCCTTTGTTTCAATAGACCATGTGGTCAAGACAGTTTCTCCAACCAGTTTTCCAGTCTTACAGAATGGTGTTTTTATCACTTCTATGATTTCAGCAAATGTCAATACTGTTTTCATATAGGCAACACAGTACACTGAAAAAGAGAAAATGGCTTCATAAAACTTTTTTGAATGAAATGGGATTGACTCCACATCAATTTTCACACTGTTCGTATTGTAGTTGAGCTTAACCTGTCAGGACAGATTATAGTCAACCCTGCAAACATTCCTTCTTAATTCATTTTTATATTTATATTAAAATTTCCTATTTAAGTCATATTTCCTAAGTAAAAATAAAACTTCTTGAAAAGGTACATTTACTTTAACACTTATTATTTGCTTGAATTACATGAGATATTGAGAGAAAGAAAGAATTCACATTGAATATAAACATATTTTGTTACTGCACTGGCATTATTTTAAGTATAAAAGTGAAAAATATCTTAAATAAAGTACCTGTCAAAAGTAAAAAAAAAAAATATATATATATATATATATATATATATATATATATATGTTTTTAAAGGAAGCATCTTATTTTCTATTTCAGTAACTTTACAAATGTAATTTATTCCTGTGATGGCAAAAATTTCAGCAGTCTTCAGTGTCACATAAACTATTCCAATATGCTGATTTGCTGCCCAAGAAACATTTATAATTATTGTTAATGTTGAAAAAGGTTTTTGCTGCTTAACATAGCCTATTTGTGGAAACATTGATACCATTCAAACATTTGTGGTTAGATAAAAAAATTGAAATTAATACTTTTATCAATGATGCATTAAATAGATTAAAAGTGACAGATACATTTATAATGTTACAAAAGATTTCTATTTAATAAATGCTAATAAATGTAAAAAAAAAAAGATGTCTTTTCATCAAAGAATCCTGAAAAAAAGTATTACCATTTTCACAAAAATGTTAAGCAGCACAACCGTTTTCTACATTGATAATAATGTTGCTTGATCAGCAAACTAGCATATGTCAGAATGATTTCTGAAGGATCATGTGACACTGGAGACTGGAGTAATGATCACAGGAATGAATTACAGTTTAAACAGTTGTTTTACTTTGCAAGAATATTTCACAATATTACAGTTTTAATGTATTTTTTAAACAAATAAATGCAGCTTTTTTTATCTTTACAGTTATATACAGCATCTGTCAAAAGTTTGGAAACATTAAAAAAAATTGTAAAAGAAGACTCTTATGCTCAAGAGATTTCTTTAAAAAAAAAAAACATTTTAATGTTTCCAAACTTTTGACAGATACTGTATAACTGGAAAGATTAAAAAAAAACTAAAACATGAAAAAGCCTCTTTTTTGCAGTATAATTATTAGGAATTGGATATTTACAAAATGCTGCCTTTGTGCGGTAGTACTTTACATAACAGCACATAAAATCTGCGCCAAAAAAGCTACCACAATTTTTGCTGCAGTTTTTCTCCCTCTTATAGTGTTTCTGGGTCTTGGGTTATCTCAGACTGTTTCCAACCTATAATCATTTGCCTCCTTTTCCAAATAAGGCTGTTCCTCATGCAGTTGGGCATGTATTCTATCATTGCAGGCCTTTTCCCTGCATTCCTCTAGTCTCGCTGGTTTTTCTCGTCTCTCATGATAAAACCAACCAAAGACACCGTGAATAGTTTCAGTAAACAATTTAATGTTATGTGTACAGTCGTGCTTGTAAAACCAAACACTTTCATGATCTACATGCCAAACAAACTGTTCGGTACTATGAAGACTCTTATGAACCATACTGGGCTGGTTTACAGCTGAGGAGAGATGAGTAAATAAAGAGATTCTGAGGTTAAAACTGATGTACACCAAGAACATGTGCTGCACAACTGGCCCCTATTTACACAGACATCTTTAATCACTCCCTGTCCCCATCCTCCCTTCCGAGAAAACCACTATGGTGCCACTGTGCCCTCCAAAAAAGGCGTCAAGCCGAAATGAGCAACCAGTTGCACTAAGACAAGGCTCATTTTAGATGTCCGCTGCCTCGCGTAGTAGACAAGAGTGGGTAGTTACAGCCCACCGCCTTTAGCGTGGAGGCAAACTCTGCTCAGCCCTGCTCAATGGCACTGCGGAGTCCCACAGCAGCAAGGGCTCCATGACAGCGCGTTCCAATGTAACGAGGTGAGTTGTTATGGGAAGATGGAGGGGGGAACCGGCGGATGTTCAAACAACTTTAATATATACAAAACACAAAATGAAAGTAAAAGCGGCAGCCCCTCAAGGACGACTGCTCTACACACATAAACAAAACATAACATAAAGGCCAGGCCTGGTCCTCTCTCTCCCTTCACTGTCGCCACTCCTCCTTTTATGCTTCCGTAGCTCCTCCGTGAGAGATACGAGACCGGTGCGGCGCGCAGGTGACGCTCATTATTAATCACGCCACCAGCCTCGCGCCTTTCTGTCACGGCTCTCGGCCCAGACCTGCTTGCCACAGATAAGAATCGAGCCGTTTACTCCTAATTTTCCGAAGAGACACAATAGCATAATGAACAGATTGAATTTAGGCTTTTATTCACATATAAACATTGATCAGCGAACAGATGCTCAACTATACTTAAAAACTTCATTGGTACTTGCTGAAGCACAAACGTGCTGCGTAACACGAGAATGACTCTCATTGGTTATCACACATCAAGTTACCATGCTTGAGCTTCTGTTTACCACAACTGATGTGTGAGTTGATCAATGTATGTATGTGATTATTACACGGCTCTGTAGAATACTTGATTCTGATTGGTCAATCGCGCCATCCAAAACGCTTGCTGCCACGCTATAGCAACTGCTCTCTCCACGGAAGCTTTGCATTTA